TGATTTCTTTTAGGATTGACTGATTTGTTCTTCTTTCAGTCCAAGGGACTCTCAAGAGTCTTCTCCAGCACCATAGTTCAAAAGAATCTATTCTTCGGCGCTCGGCCTTCCTTATAGTCCAACTCTCGCAGCCATACATGACTACTGGGAATACCATTGCTTTGACCATGCGGACTTTTGTTGGCAGGGTGATGTCTCTACTTTTCATCATGCTGTTTAGGTTTGCCATCACTTTCCTCCCAAGGAGCAGGCGTCTTTTAATTTCATGGCTGCTGTCACAGTCTGCGGTGATCTGGGATCCCAGGAACGTGAAGTCTGTCACTACTTCCACGACTTCCCCTTCTATTTGCCAAGGAGTGATGGGGCCGGATGCCATGATCTTAGTTTTTTTGATGTTGAGCTTCAAGCCCACTTTTGCACTCTCCTCTTGCACTCTGAGCAGGAGGCTCTTTAGGTCCTCTTCACTTTCTGCCATTAGAGTGGTATCGTCTGCATATCTGAGGTTGTTGATCTTTTCCCCAGCAATCTTAATTCCCGCTTGTGATTCATCCAGGCCAGCATTTCGCATGATGTACTCTGCATATATATTAAATAAGCAAGGCGACAATATACATCCTTGTCGTACTCCTTTTCCTATGCTAAACCAATCAGTTGTTCCATATCCGGTTCTAACTGTCGCTTCTTGGCCCTTATACAGGTTTCTCAAGAGACATGTGAGGTGGTCTGGTACTCCCATCTCTTTAAGGACCTGCCATAGTTTGTTGTGATCCACACAGTCAAAAGCTTTAGCATAGTCAATGAAGCAGAAGTAGATGTTTTTCTGGTACTCTCTTGCTTTCTCCATAATCCAGCGAATGTTGGCAATTTGATCTCTAGTTCCTCTACCTCTTCGAAACCCAGCTTGTACTTCTGGCAGTTCTCTATCCACGTACTGTTGAAGCCTAGCTTGTAGGATCTTGAGCATGACCTTGCTAGCGTGTGATATGAGTGCAATTGTGCGATAGTTTGAACATTCCTTGGCGTTGCCCTTCTTTGGGATTGGAATGTATACTGATCTTTTCCAATCCTGTGGCCACTGTTGCGTTATCCAAATTTGCTGGCAAATGGAGTGCAGCACTTTAACAGCATCATCTTCTAAGACTTTGAATAGCTCAGCTGGAATACCATCACCTCCACTAGCTTTGTTGTTAGCAATGCTTTCTAAGGCCCATTTAACTTCACATTCCAGGATGTCTGGCTCGAGGTCAGTGATTATACCGTCGTGGTTGTCAAGGACATCGAGGTCTTTCTTGTATAGTTCTTCTGTGTATTCTTGCCATCTTTTCCTAATCTCTTCTGCTTCTGTTAGGTCCCTACCGTTTTTGTCCTTTATCATGGCCAGCTTTGCATGGAACGCTCCCTTGATTTCTCCAACTTTCTTGAAGAGATCTCTAGTCCTTCCCATTCTATTGTTTTCTTCTATTACTTTGCACTGTTCATTCAGGAAGGCCTCCTTATCTCTCCTTGCTGTTCTCTGGAAATCTGCGTTCAGTTGGGTAAATCTTTCCTTTTCGCCTTTGCCTTTCGCTTTCCTTCTTTCCTCTGCTATTTGTAAAGCCTCATCAGAAAGCCACTTTGCTTTCTTACATTTCTTTTTCTTTGGGATGGTGGTGATTGCTGCCTCCTGTACAATGTCACGAACCTCCGTCCATAGTTCTTCAGGCACTCTATCTATCAAATCCAGACCCTTGAATCTATTCTTCACCTCTACTGTATATTCATCAGGGATGCGATCTAGGTCAAACCTGAATGGCCTCGTGGTTTTCCCAATTTTCTTCAGTTTAAGTCTGAATTTTGCAATGAGTAGCTCATGATCTGAACCACAGTCAGCTCCAGGTCTTGTTTTTACTGACTGGATAGAGCTTCTCCATCTTTGACTGCAAATTATATAGTCAATCTGATTTCGGTGTTGCCCATCTGGTGATGTCCATGTGTAGAGTCGCCTCTTAGGTTGTTGGAAAAGGGTGTTCGCTATGACCAGTGTGTTCTCTTGACAAAACTCTGTTAACCTTTGCCCTGCTTCATTTTGCTTTCCAAGGCCAAACTTGTCTGTTATTCCAGTTACCTTTTCACTTCCTACTTTAGCATTCCAGTCCCCTATGATGATGAGGACATCATTTTCATCCTTTGCCGTCCCCTTCTTCTTTGACCTTCGATTTGAGCCTCAGTTTCATTATCTGGCCTTCCAGGGAACAGTCAGGGTTGATTTCTTTTAGGATTGACTGATTTGATCTTCTTGCAGTCCAAGGGACTCTCAAGAGTCTTCTTCAGCACCATAGATCGGCCTTCCTTATAGTCCAACTCTCACAGCAATACATGACTACTGGGAATACTATTGCTCCATATGTTTAATTCCTTCTTGAAGCTGTCCATGCTTATAGCCGCCGCCACCTCCTGTGGCAGTGAATTCAATGTGTTAATCACTCTTTGGGTGAAGAAGTACTTCCTTTTATCCCTTCTAACCCGACTGCTCAGCAATTTCATGGAGTGCCCACGAGTTTTTGTATTGTGAGAAAGGGAGAAAAGTACGTCTTTCTTTACCCTGCTCCATCTTATAAACCTCAATCATGTCACCACTGAGTCGTCGTTTCTCCAAGCTAAAGAGCCCCAAGCGCTTTAACCTTTCTTCATAGGGAAAGTGTTCCGACCCTTTTATCATTTTAGTTGCCCTTTTCTGCACTTTTCCCAATGCTATAATATCCTTTTTGAGGTGTGGTGACCAGAACTGTACACAGTATTCCAAATGATTACTGGAATGCACATCCGCGTTTTGTGACAAATTGAAAAGACGTGGGTTGGATCCAGACAACTTTGAAAAAGGAAGGAGGGGGTCTTTTCAGACCACCCAGAAAGGCTCTGTTGGGAATCATGGGACCTGCGTGTACAAAAGCCACGTGGGACGGGGGCTGCAGCAAGGAGGAAAACTGGGCGAGACTGAGTGAAAAAGCTGTCTGGATCCAAGCCCAGGGCGCTCTGTTGTTGTCACCGTCATTCTGAACCAGAGGGTATTCCTCCCCTATTGTATGAATGTTATGCAGTCTTGTACCTTATTTTAATAAATTAAAAAGGCAAATGATTACTCAATGAAGTTAGGTAGGGCAGTTGGTTACCCTATTAGACTCTGTTGACTCTTGGGGCTGGCTCAGGCCTGTGAATTCATCAGTACACTGTGTGATTTGTATAGGATGAATGGGATGCTCCCTCTAAGCTGCAGAGTCTTGTGAGCAAAAAATTCTGCCTCGTGAGTTACTGGCATGAAAGTTGTGAGTGAGCGATTTGGCTGCTGCATAAATTAGTTTGGATCTTTCCTGTGCTAAGACAAAAATGGGTGAGACAGAGGCTAACAAACTGAGAGCTAGCTCACACTAACTCAGCTTAGAGGGAACACTCACAGGAAGAACTTGACAGAACTTGTGGGAGGGGGGAAAGGAGTGAGCTCGACATCCTCCATTGCCTAGATCCAACTCTGGCTGTGGGTTCCTTTTCTCCAGCTTCCCACTGACACAATGGGGTAGTCATTCACAGGCCAGGAAACAGTCCCCCAAGAACCTTGTTATTAAATGTTGTTATTCGCATTGCCTTTTGATTTCTGGGAGCCAGTTTTAGCTGAAAAGGATAACGCTTGTGTCATCTTGCTGAACCCAAACACCATGCTTTTTAATAAAGTCAGTCCACACATTCCACTTCAAGCCAGCAAAAGGAAAGACAGAACTATAAAGGGATACGCGCACATGGGTGCATCAGGCCAGAGAACAGAATTGGAGTACGGCCATCTTTATTTGCCAGTGATGACCACAACATCATAGGTTGGATCCCACAGAAGAGTCCTGCCTGTACAACAGCCCTCGTGCACGTGAAGGAGCGGAAATCAGCTCATGTGAGAGGAAAACAATTGTATCCCCACTACCTTTTCTATGTGCATGAGGCATAAGACATGATGTTCTTTCTTATAAAATTTCAAAACCAAATGACATGTATTTACTTATTTATTTAATTATATTTCTGCCCCACCCTCCCCCACAATGTTCATCGCAGCGTTTCCTTTGGACGCTGTTCTTTTGCCAATAATTACTTTTAGCAGGATGCTTTGCTGACGGTGTTGCCCCAGCGGAACTTCATGTTTCCTTAACCTCTCAGGTATCACTAAATACCGCTGCATGTGATGCCTTGCAGGCATAACTTGATGGAGACCTGGATGGGTGAGTGGGGAGGAGACAGCTAGGGATGCCAACCTCCAGGTGGGTCCTGGGGAACCCCTGGGATTACAGTTCATCTCCAGACTACAGAGATCAGTCCCCCTGGAGGAAAATGTATGCTTTGGAAGGTGAACTCTGTGGCACTGTACCCCACTGAGCTCCCCCAGGCTCCACCCCCAAATCTCCAGGAGTTCCCTAACCTGGAGCTGGCAACCCTACCCCCCCACACCTGCTGGCAGGCCCGTGCCCCTCCAGCCTCAGTTGGGGGTCCCCCTCGACATAGAACTTGTGCATATAATTCTTCGTGTCTACCCTCTGGGTTCCCTTGTCCTGAGGCTATTCTGCCGGCATCTCCTTTCTCAGGCTTCTAATCGCGATCATTGTTTTCCTTCGGATTCATACAGGATGGCGGTGCCACGCCGGATGAGCTCCAGTGCCATTAATACCCGGCGATCCCGTCGTAAACACTGCCGATGGTGACCCAACGGCCGCAGATGGCACGCCGACCTCCCCGCAAGTCGCTACGCCGCCGCCCGCAACTGGAAAGTGGACATTCTTGCCGAGTCATCTCCCCCCCCCCCCCCCTTTCCCCCCCCGGGGGGCCCCCGCGCACAGGCGGCCTCTCCCGCCCACCTCAACCATCCTGACGGCGGCTGGTGGCCGGGAGCCAAAAGATAGGGCTGAGCCGATGACGTCGGGCGCCAAAGCACTCCAAGCATTTCTCACCGCCGCCCCCCCTCCTCTTCTCCCTCTGGCCGTGGCTCCGAGCATGTGCAGAGCGCCGATCTGCGCGGTTGCGGCGTGTGTCACCGAGGCGGCCCTTCACGTGTCCGCGCTCACAAGACGCCGCGCCGTGCGGAAAGGGTATTTCACGCGCGCCTCGGCCGCAGCGCCGCATTTGGCTGGCTCGCGAAGGCTGCGCAGCAAGCCTCGGATTCCCAGCCGCGCCATCTGGCTGCTCTCCCCGCTCCCGCCGCCGCCGCCGCCGCCTCCACGCCTGTGAAGAGACCCAGCAGCAGCAGCCGCCGCCCGTCACCTCCGTGCCCGGAGAGGAGAGAGAGAGAGAGAGAAGGGACGCGCCCCATGTTGGTGCCCAAGATGCGGCTGGCCTTTGCGCTGTGCGCGCTGGCCGTGGCCTTCCCGGGCTTGGCCCAGGCCAGGGTGGTGGGCCCGGAGGAAGCGGGCTTTGCGGAGTGCGACGGCTTCTTCCTGGCCCAGCCCCCCCCCGAGGGGCTGCCCGGGCCGCCTTCGCACGTGAAAATCTGCCAGAAGTACAAGCAGGAGCCGCGCTTCGCCACCCTCTACAGCACGCAGGACAAGATCCCTCTCTATGCGGCGTTCAAGTACACCGAGGCGGCTCCGAGCGGGGAGGAGAACTGGCTGGTGGCAGCGCAGGTGAGGAGAACCGCGGGAGGGGGGGGGGAAACCGGGGGGGGGGGGGGGCGGCGGCCCGAGGGGGCTGGCGAAGAAGCCGAAGGCAGGGTGGACCCCTTGGGCTGGGAAATCTGCGGGTGCTTTGTTTATTCGGTTGGTTTCTGTTCCGCCCTCCCTCCAAGGAGTTCGGGGGGGGGGGCAGTGTGCGTCTTTCTCCATCCTCACGACAATCCCGTGAGGTAGGTCTGGCTGAGAGTGTGTGACTGGGCCGAGATTTTCCGGGCACAGGGGGACTGGAGCCTGGTTATCCAAGACCCTGCCCCAACACCCTAAGCACTGCACTATGCTGGGGTGGGGGAAATGTGGCTGTAAAATTACACAGGGCTGCCTGGAACGGTGTCTGGCCATTGGCCTGGCAAGGTCAGTATTGTCTACTCTGACTGGCAGCAGCTCTCCAGTGCCTCAGACAGAGGTCTTTCACATCACCTTTGACTGGAGCTGCCAGGTATCGAACCCGGGACACTCTGTGTGCCAAGCAAAGATGCTTGACCCCTGAGTAACAACAACCCTTCTCCTAGAAACTTGGTGAACAGCAACGTGATCACTTTTGAACACAGGAAGCCATATACTGCCTTATATTGAATCAGACCAGTCAGTACGGTCTCCTCTAACCGGCAGTGGCTCTCTAGGGGTCACACTTGATCCTTCTGCCTGGAGATGCCTGGATTTGAAGCTGCGAGACCTTCTGGGTTCAAAGTGGGTGGCTCTGAAGAAGAGAAGAAGAGATTGGATTTATACCCCGCCCTTCACTACCCAAAGGTGTTTCAGAGCGGCTTACAAACTCCTTTCCCTTCCCCTCCCCACAACAGACACCCTGCGAGGTAGGTGGGGCTGAGAGAGCTCTTGACAGAAACTGCTCTTTTTCAAGAACAGCTGTGCCAGAGCTACGGCTTGCCCAAGGTCACATCAGCAGGTGCAAGTGGAGGAGTGGGGAATCAAACCCTGTTCTTCCAGATTAGAGTCAGCACACTTAACCACTACACCAAACTGAGCCAGAGCCCCTCCTGGTGGGTTAGTCAGCAACCCGTAGGCCAAGCCCCCCCCCTCTCTGAGCACCCTCTTGCAGATTCTGTAGTAGCCAAGTCCAGGGAAAGTGGGAGGCCCAGCGGGAACTGTAGCCAATCCAAACTCCATGGCAACTTAGAAAAAAAAAAGCTGTTCACATTTTTACACACACACCCGGCCAATCCCCCCCCCTTTTTTTGTAACCGCACAGTGTTGCTCTTTGTGTGGATAAATTAATTAAAGTTCTGTGACATACACCTCAGAGAACTGCCAGAATAATTATAAGAGAATACGAGGCTTTAGAAACGATGGGGGATGAAGAGAAGATATATGTCAGTTTTTCCTACCTTTTCTGGGGGAGGAATCACTAAGGCAACTTGGAAATCTAGAAAGGAAGAAAGAGAGAGACGGGAGGCGAGGGTAACATGCATTTACATCTTGATTTAAAACCCAAACCCCTCCTGCTTGCAAATGAACACACAGCTATTGTGTTGTACGTGTACAGTGCAATCCTAAGCAGAGTTGCTCCCTTTGAAGTCCAATGAAATCAATAGTCTTAGAAGGGTATAATTCTGTTTAGGATATTTCAGAGGGGGCCAGTGTTCCCTCTAAGCTGAGTTAGTGTGAGCTAGCTCACGGTTTTTTAGCCTCCGGCTCACACATTTTTGTCTCCGCTCAGGAAGGACGGCTCCAGAGCAAAGCAGTTTATGCAGTAGCCAACTTGCTCACTCACAACTTTAATGCCAGTAGCTCACAAAGTAGAATTTTTGCTCACAGGACTCCATAGCTTAGAGGAAGCGTTGGAGGGGGCCCCGTGTTGGTCTGCAGCAGGAGAGCTGGATTCGAGTCCAGCAGCACCTGAGAGACTAGCAAGATTTTGCGGGTATGAGCTCTTGAGACTCAAAGCTCCCTTTGCCAGATAGGATGCTTAGGACCAGTGTTCCCTCTAAGCTGAGTGAGTGTGAGCTAGCTCACAGTTTTTTAGCCTCCAGCTCACACATTTTTGTCTCAGCTCTGGAAGGATGGCTCCAGAGCAAAGTAATTTATGCAGTCACCAAATCGCTTGCTCACAACTTTAATGCCAGTAGCTCACAACGTAGAATTTTTGCACAAAAGACTCCACAGCTTACAGGGAGCATTGCTTAGGACAGCACTGTAAAAGTGCCATTCGAAGCAGGTCTGTTCCGTCGGACTTACTCCCAGCAAAGTGTTCTTAAGGTTGCTCTGTTAATCAAATAATCCCAGTCCTTAAGAAATGTAATGGGGTTTGGGGATGTCACTTTAGGTGTTTTTTTTAATGCACCAAGAAGATGGAACTGTGTACTCCCACTTCAGTATAGAGTCCAAGATTGCATACATATGTGCTGTGAAGTCACAACTGACTTATGGCAAACCCAGCAAGGGACTTTCAAGAAAAGTGAGACTTAGGTGGTTGGCCATTGCCTTCCTTGGTGGATCTCCCATCCAAGTTCCAACCCTGCTTAACGTCCAGAGTCTGACGAGATCAGGCTATACCATGCCATATCCCCCCCCTAGCCCATAATTACACCAAAAGCTATCTATCTGTGTCTGTGTTTATAGATCCAGTTGAGTAGCCGTGTTGGTCTGAAGCAGTAGAACAAAGTTGGAGTCCAGTGGCACCTTTAAGACCAACAAAGTTTTATTTCCCCAGAATTAAATCCAAACGACGGTGACCTTATAAACTTAGCTTGTTATTCCTGTTTGCATCTGTTAAAACATGTTCATTATGCTGCGTGCTTATTTGCTGTATGCCTGATAGGTATGGATTGGTAAATCCCATTTCATTGTATCTGAGGAAGTGTTTGTGCACACGGAAGCTCATACCTTGAGTAAAACTTTGTTGGTCTTAAAGGTGCCACTGGACTCACTTTCTTCTGTCTCTATGGTTGCCATAGTTCAAGCCCATTGTGCCCCATGTACCTGGGCCTGCCCACATCAGACCACAGGTGAGGGAATGTTGCTTCTGACAAAAAGTGCCCTCTCCATGAAGCTGCCTTGTACCCAGTTAGACCACTGGTCCCTCTAGTTCAATGTGCTCTGCTCTATCTGGGGGCACCTCTCTAGGATCTCTCCCAAAGACCAGGATAATTTTGGTGGGTGATGCCAGAGAGCGAACCTTGGTCCTATAGTACGTGCAAATCAGGCGCTTCCCATATAGAAAACTAGATTAAAGAGATATTTTTTCCCTGCTTTGCCTGACAGTCTCATGGGTTTATGTAACCCAAAGCTTGTCTAGAGCCGCTTTCCAAGTACACGTTACCACCGACGAGCAATGCTCCCTCTAAGCTGTGGAGTCCTGTGAGCAAAAATGCTACTTTGGGAGCAACCGGCCTTAAAGCTGTGAGCAAGCCATTTGGCTACGGCATAAATTAGTCTGCTCTAGAGCCCTCCTTCCTGAGCTAAGGCAAAAATGTGTGAGCCGGAGGCTAAGAAACCGTGAGCTAGCTCACACTAACTCAGCTTAGAGGGAACGCTGCCTACGAGTCTTTTCACTGGACATGGTGCGGATTGAGGCCGGGACCTTCTGCATGCAAAATTCATCTCTCCAACTGAGCCTGTGGTTTGCTACTTCTGCTGCTTCGGCTTGTTTACTAGGCCAGCCCAAGTGTAGTGGTTACAGTGTGGGATGGGAAACGAGGAGACCCAGGTTCAGATGCTCACACTGCCAGGGAAGCTCACAGGGTGGCCCTTTGGCCTGTCACACACTCTCGGCCTAACCTGCCTCATCACGCTGTGGTTGTTAGGATAAAACGAAGGAGGAGAGAATGAAGTTGTAAAGTGGTTTGGGGGTGCGTTGGGGAGATAAGCAGAATATACATAAATAGTCCTCTGTACGTATACTTCAGAACCCCTGCGTGCTGTTCCAAGATCTTGGTGGCATATTCTTGCTGTTTGGTCTCCCTGTAGTTCTGGAGGGGCCATGGCTCAGTGAAAAAGCCTCTGCTTTTGCATGCTAAATGTCTCACGTTCAGTCCCTGGCATATACAGTTGAGGATCAGGTAGTGAGTGACGTGAAAGACCTCAGCCTGAGACCCTGGAGAGCTGCTGCCAGTATGACTAGACAATGGGCAATTCTGCATCTAGCATGAAAAAGTGCAGCTCAAAAACACATTCAAATACCTCGGTGCCGTACTGACTGCAAAGTCACCCCTGAACGGCCATAAAACATCCATAAATCTAAGCAGAAGGTACCATAAAATCCGATGATCAAAGTGGTGTGGAGTGTGGAAGCTACCATAAAATCCGATGATCAAAGTACTCGAAAGTGGTGTGGAGTGTGGAAGCTACCATAAAACCCGATAATCAAAGGAAGTGAAAGCAGGATGCAGTGCAGAGGGGAATTTCTGTTCCAAGGTTTGGTGTAGTGGTTAAGTGCGCGGACTCTAATCTGGGAGAACCGGGTTTGATTCCCCACTCCTCCACTTGCACCTGGCTGGATGACCTTGGGCAAGCCGTAGTTCTGATAAGAGCTGTTCTTGAAAAAGAGCAGTTTCTGTCAAGAGCTCTCTCAGCCCCACCTACCTCACAGGGTGTCTGTTGTGGGGAGGGGAAGGGAAAGGAGTTTGTAAGCCGCTCTGAGACACCTTTGGGTAGTGAAGGGCGGGTTATAAATCCAATCTCTTCTTCTTCATTGGGAAAAGCCAATGCAGAATCAGCCAGTACTGACCCCAAAGGACTGATTCGGTATAAGGCAGCTTCCTGTGTATTCAGCTCATTTGTGTCTTGCATTTATGCCGAACACATAAATGTGTCCTCTCTACCGCTGTGCATTGCAAGGAGAAACTCACTTATAGTGGGGGAGCTGGAAGCTTGTTCACCCTTCCTGATCTTCTCACAGAGGCCTGCCTGATAAGCTGCCTGGGGAATCCCTGGAACGTTGCCCAGGATCCACAGTTCTCACAGGGGGGGAGGGGGAGGCTGCCTCCCTGGGGAAG